TTCTCCAGGAACTTCAGGCCTGGATTCCAGAGCTTGCCCTATATATGAATTGCAAATAAATTCTCTAAGTGCTGCTGAGAATGTACTGTAAGAAGAGTCCTTCTGAATCAGGCCAATGGCCCATCTAGTCCAGCATCCTGTTCTCACAGGGGCCAACTAGTTGCCTGTGGGGAAACAGGCAGCCAGGGCCTTAGCACAAGAGCCCTCTTCCCTACTGTGGTTTCCAGCAACTGCTATTCAGAAGAATTGCTTCCTCCGACTGTGGAGCCAGAGCATAGCCATAATGGCTAATAGCCGTTGATAGCCCCCTCCTATCTTCATTGAGATGAGTACACATTGAGTGAGATTTCACAAATGCATGTGGAATTATGATGCCCTGGACTTTTAATTCTTATTTTTGTAATACAGTGGTACCTCGGGTTACAGACACTTCAGGTTACAGACGCTTCAGGTTACAGACTCCACTAACCCAGAAATAGTACCTCGGGTTAAGAACTTTGCTTCAGGATGAGAACAGAAATCATGCTCCGGCGGTGCAGCGGCAGCAAGAGGCCCCATTAGCTAAAGTGGTGTTTCAGGTTAAGAACAGTTTCAGGTTAAGAATGGACCTCCAGAACGAATTAAGTACTTAACCCAAGGTACCACTGTAATAATAAACCCTGCTACATTGGCTTCACTTTGCTGACCTTCTTTCCACAAACACCTGCATCGTACGTCTGTAGTAAAATGAAATAAATTGCTTGTGGAATTTTGATGCCTCTGACTGTATTGTTTTTTGAAAGAATCTTTTTGTGTGAATTTCAGCAACGTAACCAATAATGCTGTTTTCAAAAACAATTGCAAAACCTTACTTGGGCAAAGTGCGCCCTAGACGAAAAAACATCAGCATTGTGAGAAGGAGAAAGAGCTATGAAATGGGCTCATAAATTCATGAACATTGAACAAAGTGAGGTGATGTCACAACTTGAAACCTTGGTTATGCCATGACCTGTGACTCTCTTTGCAGGAGACTTATTCCAGAAACCACGACTCATGAAGACCGTGACGTGGTACTTGGAGAAGCTGTCCATCCACCTCTACCCTTCGTTGGAGAGATTTGAAGAGGAGCTCTTGGACCTGCTCATGAGTGATCAGGTACTCTTCAAGGCTTGGAAAGGCGAGAAATGCAGTAAAAGTCAAGGAGGGGTGGGGAGAAGAGGTTTGAGACCTACAAGTAGAAATGGGGAATAAATTCAGTTTGGTTTGCATTTCCATACGCCCTTACCCTAATTCCATACTTCCCGAAACAATACGTAAACCAGAACACAGCTATCCTTCCAAGCTTGCACTTATCTGAATTTTCAGCACAGCTTTCCAGCCAAATAACTTATACAAGAACACATTCATTAGTGAAAATAACATACAATAATGCATGGTATTAGGAAACAATTGCTTGGGGGAAAACATATACAGTGGTACCCTCGGGTTACATATGCTTCAGGTTATATACGCTTCAGGTTACAGACTCCGCTAACCCAGAAATGGTGCTTCAGGTTAAGAACTTTGCTTCAGGATGAGAACAGAAATCGTGCTCCGGCGTCGCGGCAGCAGGGGGAGGCCCCATTAGCAAAGTGGTGCTTCAGGTTAAGAACAGTTTCAGGTTAAGTACGGACCTCTGGAACGAATTAAGTACTTAACCCGAGGTATCACTGTATTAGGCCAAGTTGCATAATGAATTTTGCCTATTGGAGCCTGTAACGTCGTGGTTACAAGTGGTGAACCAGGACCTTGGAGACCAGGGTTCAAATCCCCACTTGGCCAGGAAGCTTCATTGGGTAACCTTGAGTCAGTCACTGCCTCTCAGCCTAACCTACCTCACAGGGATGTTGTGAGGATAAAATGGGGAGGCAGAGAACCATGTACGCCACTTCAAGCTCTTTGGAGGAAAACGGGTGTTATATAAATGTAATAAGTAAATGGATATTACGAAATACGGGCACTAAAATTCTGACACATTTTCACGAGGACTTTGGAAAAAAACAAACCCCACAAAACTGATGTGGAAATGGGGGAAAACAAATTTAAGAGTGCAGAAAACAAGTTACTGAAAGAAATAGAAAATGACAGATTCAGGAGTGTGTTTTATTCAGAAGTCTAGTGGAAGTATTCTTTATTCAACCCAATGCATTTCAGATTGAATTGTTCTTCTTCAGGGGCACTCTGAAGCATAACTAGTTTCAGACTTTCGGTCTCAAATCTCATTGCACATTATTTTCCAGACAATGACCAGACAATAACCTGTTGTCAGGAATGCGCATAAGTCATAGTGTCGATCCAAGACAGCTTGCTTGCTTCTTTGAAGTGGCACCAATATACTGATCTCCCTTGCTTTGAGGAAGAATTTAAAATCTCTTGCCACACCATTCAGACACCAATGGTTGTAGCCAACTAAGTTTTACTCAGAACTAATGGAACAGGAGTCTGTAACCTGAAGCGTATATAACCTGAAGCATATGTAACCCGAGGTACCACTGTATATGGGACGCGGGTGGCGCTGTGGGTAAAAGCCTCAGCGCCTAGGGCTTGCCAATCGAAAGGTTGGCGGTTTGAATCCCCGCGGCAGGGTGCGCTCCCGTTGTTCGGTCCCAGCGCCTGCCAACCTAGCAGTTTGAAAGCACCCCCGGGTGCAAGTAGATAAATAGGGACCGCTTACTGGCGGGAAGGTAAACGGCGTTTCCGTGTGCTCCGCTGGCTCGCCAGATGCAGCTTTGTCATGCTGGCCACGTGACCCGGAAATTGTCTCCAGACAGCGCTGGCCCCCGGCCTCTTAAGTGAGATGGGCGCACAACCCTAGAGTCTGTCAAGACTGGCCCGTACTGGCAGGGGTACCTTTACCTTTACCTAATGGAACAAAGTTTCTCTTCCTCCCCAGTTTATCCTCACCCAAACCCTGGCGAGGTACATTGGGCTGAGGGACTGTGAGTTGCATGGCCAAGCAGGGATTTGAACCCTGGTCTCCCTGGTCCCACTCTGACACTCTAGCCACTAGACCACACTTGTTGCTTCACCCTGCTGCACAGGTAGGCTGGCCCTGTGTTGTCTAAGCTAAAACAACAGCATGAAAACCCCTGCAATTCTGAGACCAGGTGGTCCAAATTGTTGCAAACCTGGTCCTGTGACCGGTCTCAATTATACAACTTGAGCATCTTTGCACAGCAGCTCCTTTTTTGCATAATTTATTCGCCAGCTGTTGCTATATTGCAGAATTCATTCTGTATCGGCTAGTCTTTGCAAGGGGGAGCTATGTATGGTCACAGAAGCACTTCCTGAACTGCTGAAAACCTTTATTCAGACACTGGACAGCTACCTAGCTTTCACTAGGGTTTTCTGGATCCCCTCTGCAACAACCTGGTGCACATGTTTTTGGACTACAGTTCCCAACAGCCCCAGCCAGCATGTGTTTCTGGCCAAAATAGCTGGATGGCACCAGGTTGGCGAAGACTGTTCCAAGAAGGTAGTCTTGTTCATATGGACTACATCCTTTTTTGTTCTTTCAAAATGAAGCTAATTTTCAGGAAGCTGGATTATTCTTGCAAGTCAATTGCTGGGTTTCTTGCCTCCTCCAATACCACCAAGCAGAAAACAATGGATTTTTTTCTAAGAGGATGAATTTCCCATTTTCTGGACAATAACAATGCATCTGCTTGTTTCTTTGCATATGGATTGCTTTTGATGCTGCATTTTTTGCGGGGAGGGAAGAGTCCTTTTATTGCCTTAGTTCTCCTTCTGATTAAGAGACTGCTCTCTTCTCAGCCTCCCTGTTGCTGTTTCTCCTCCCCTCCTCCTGGAATAAGCAGCTGCTAATGAGCTACACGGTGGCCAGGCTGCTTTTGATTAATGGATACCCAGAGCAACTTCTAAGTTTTAATGTTTGTGTTTTCAGCTCTCGCAATTTAGGAAGCGGTAATGACCCCCAAGGATGCGCCTTGTTGATTTGTCAGATGCGCAGTGGATTTTCAGAGAGGAGAAGATGAAATACGTTAATATCCAGCAGTCACTCTGGGGCAGCTTTCATTTTTATTAGCTAAGGACATCCTGCCTAAAATTACTTTTCCCACCCCCTCCTCACAATACATTGGTATCGCGGGTTAAAAAATGCCGTGGCATTTGATAAGTTGGCCGGGCCCTTACTCTGGGTCTGTTTCCTGTGCATTTGAATATAAGGAAAGGGAACAGCAAGCTGGATTTTCATTTTCCATCAGCCCTGCTGTAAGACAAGCCGCATCAGGCCTTCTCGCCCTTAGCTATCACCCAGCCATCAGCCATTCCTGCAGACTACAACAGTGGGAGAGATGGGTTGCAGAGCCCATCTCATTGGCTCTCAGTCAAGTGCCTCCAACATGTTCCTGGAATTGTTTCTATTCTGGGTGGTCATGAAACACGGGGCTGTCCTTAAAGACAGCTTAGAAACTTCAATCGGTCTAAAATGCAGCAGCCAGGTTAATGCCCGGGGCTCTGTTTAGATATCATATAACCTTTGTTTTAAAGCAGCTGCACTGGTTGCCTGTTTGTTCCCGGTCCCAATTCAAGATTGCGGTAAACAATCTAGGCCCCAAATATCTGAAAGATCCCCCACTTCCCTACAGAACCTCTTGGGTGCTGAGTACAGTGGTACCTCGGTTTATGAACTTAATCCGTTTCTGAAGTCCATTCTTAAACCAAATCTGTTCTTAAACCGAGGCACGCTTTCCCTAATGAGGCCTCCCGCCACCGGTGCCCTTCCACTGTTCAGCTTCCATTTGTAGATCGAGGTAAAGTTCAGAAACCAGAACACTACTTCCGGTTTTGTGAAGTTCATAAACCAAATAGTTCGTAAACAGGGCTGTTTGTAAACCGAGGTACCACTGTAGTTTGTCCTCCCTCAGAGGTTCGGAGGTGTGTGGCTGTCTGGGAGAGAGCCTCCTCTGCGTCAGCCCCTGTGTTGTGGAACTCCCTCCCCACAGAAGTTCACCTGGCACCTTCATTGTACAGCTTCCGGCAAATGCTGAAGATGCACCTCTTTAACTTGGCTCGGGGTGTATATTTCTAGGATGTGGCTTATTTCTGTAAGTTGTTTTGAGTATTGTTTTCTTCATGTCGTAATACGCCCTGGTACCTTAGGGTGAAGGACAGGAAAAGGAATGAATGAATGACTATGTGACATTTTGCAGGGTTGTTCCTTGTGCCTTGAGACATGACCTGTCCACCTATGGATTTTCCTAGGGCAACTCGATGCTGGATGGGAACACCCTCGCGGTGCAGGAGAGGCGGCTGCACATTGGGGTACACAACGGCTTTTGCTTTGTGCAGCCACCACAGGTGGTGGTGGTGGTGCCAGAGGCCGAGGTGGCTCGAGGGCGGACCAGCAGCTTACAGAGGAAACAAGGAGCCGGTGTCAGACCCAGGTAAGAAGGCAGCTTTCCAGGCAAGGAAAAGCCAGAAGTTCCTACCAACCAAACACACACGTCTCTTTCCTTCCTTCATCCAAGTAAGCAAGCAAGAAGATGATCACATTTCAAGGGCACATTCTGGCAAAAGTACCTGGGGAGGATGGGGCGAAGGGCCACTGCGGGATGTAGCTTGAAGAGAGGGGTCGTTGCCTGGGGAAGAGTCCTGAGGGTTGGATAGAGGGGCGTGGGCACACCCCACACTGGCAGTACTTTGTTCCTCTCCAAGTAGAAATTAGGACAA